TAGCAGCCTCTCCAGCCACAGTGTTGGGGTGGTTCCCAAAGACTGCAGCATCTTCCCGCAAGGAGAGAGGCTCTGCTTCTCACTCTTGTCCTTGTAGGAGCTAGAGTGGGGCAGGGTAAGAAAGGAACTTGGGAGAACTTTCAGTTACCTAGTAAGTGGCAGGCTGGAACTGGATGAGGACAGTTCACACTTCCTAACCCCTTCCTGTGTGCTGGCATCCTGCTAAGCTGGTTTATGAACTAGTTCATGTATCTTTTACAACAGTCCCTTGGCATTGGGGTCACTTCCAATTCCAGGGAAAGGAAGGCATAGGGCAGTTTCATGACTTGCCCAGGATCACACAGGTAGGAAGCAAGGGTGGGTTTGAACTCAGACTCTTGAAGACTCAACTCTTATCCCATGTTGCTCATTCAGGGCGAAGGTCCCAGAGTCACAGTCCTTAGTCCTTGGCATTAGTTCCTATTCCCGATGCTCTGGGGAAGTGGAGGACTCAGAGAGAGTCCCTTCCTCAGAGAATATCATCAAAGACACTCTGGCTGTGTTTTGAATGTGTGAGTCATATTCAACTGCCCACCTGCATCTATCCAGATGTTGAAGAGACAATTCTCCATAAGTTCCTAATTTGCCCATCACCTACAAACAAAACAGCAAACTCCGAATCCCTGCTTCTCCCATGGTCTTCCCTATCTCAAGAAATGGTAATTCCAGTCTTCCAGGCACACAGGTAAAACATTTTTTGTCAATATCAACTTCTCTCTCTCTCTCTCTCTCTCTCTCTCTCTCTCACACTCTCGGTGGTACTGGTTAAACTCAATGCCTCACACTTACTAGGCAGGTACTCTACCACTTGAGCCACTCCACCAGCCCTTTTTGGGGTGGATATAGGGTCTTGAACTATTTGCCTGGCTGGCTTTGAACTGCAATCCTCCTGATCTCCAATCCTTTGAGTAGCTAGGATTACAGGCCTGAGCCCTCAGAACCCAGCTCAACTCCTCTCTTGATCTCACATTTCACATTTAATTCTTCAGCAAGTCCTGTGGCAGTGCCTTCAAAACAGAACCCGAATCAGACCATTTTGAACTATTGCACTGCTACCAACCTGGTCAGAGCTGCTCTCATCTCCTGCTTGGATTATTGCACTAGTCTCTCAGCAGATTTCCCTGCTTGCTGCCTTGTGCACTGTTCTCAATGTAGCAGCCCAAGTGATCCACTTAAGTTAGATGATGTCACTCCCTGCTCTCTGATAGCTTCCATCGCGTTCAGAGCACATGGGAAAGACCTGGAAGCTCCTATGAGGTCCTATGGGACTTGCAACCATTCTGACCTTATCTCGTATTGGCTCCTTCCAGCTCAAGCTGCTTCTGCCACCTTGGACTGAGGTTCCTCCAGCATGCCAGGTTCACCCTTGCTCTTCCCTTTGCCTGGAGTCCTTTTCACTCAGATGTCAACAGTTGTCGTGGCCTTTCTTCAGGGATTTATTGACTCAACATCAACTCTCCACCACCTGATTCAAAGTTGCAACCTGAGGGGTTGCACCCTTCAATTATCTCTTTTCCCTACTTTATTTTTCTTTATTATGAATTTCTGACACACCATAAAGTTTTTTTCTAATTAACTAATTTGTTTTCATGTTTCTTTTAGTTAGAATGTAAGCTCCATGAGGCTAAGATTTTGAGCTCTTTTGCTTGCCACTGCATCCCCACCATTGCCTGGAATATTGTAGCTACTCAATAAATGTTTATTGAATATATGAACAATCAGGAGTGACTTCTAATGCATGACTCTAGGCTGAACCAGGACTCCTGGTGTTCCTCTTCCCCAGCCTCAACAATATATAGGAGCTCCCTAAGGCAAAGGGTTCAATGGGAAGTGTCCCCTAAACAATCTTCCCTTCCATACACCCTAGGGCTAAGCTCAGGGCAACTGTCACCTGATGCATAATGTGCAGGCCCTAAGGAGAGTTTGAAATCTGAGTCATGAATTTGGGGATTCCATTAAAGGAAAGATAGTCTGCTAGAAGCTTAGGCAATGGGCCTCTGGAAAAATTACCCAGACTGACTAGGAAAGGGCTCTTGGAGAATAGCTGAAGGATCAAGAAAGTATGCTCTTGAAAGTATCCTGACCAGAGATGTTGAGATTGAGCTTCCCCAACACTGTGAGCTAGGAGGAGTCTCAAAAGGTAAGGTAGTACAAGCCCTGAAACAGACTCATCTGTCCACATCCATTCACTCATCCACTCTCCATCCATCCATCCATCCATCCACCCAAACACGCATCCACCATCCACCCACCTTTCATTCTTCCTTCCATCTATCCGTCCATTTGTCATTCTTCCAGTACACACATGGTTAGTACACACACTGTGCACTAGGTCTTATAACAAGTGCTGGAGTTACAAAGATGAATCAGACCTAGTCCTTCTTAAAGACTTATGGCCCAGGTCTATAGAGAGGCACACACTCTCAACATACCTTTCATGGATGCAGGTACAGGGTGGGGTTTCCTAGCTCTATCTTGGGGAGGGATGATGGAAACATTTCTTGGCAATGAGCAGGGACATTGAACTGAGACGTAAAGAATGTGAGGCACAGGGCTTAGTGAAAAGGAGGGGTGAATGGGTAGCAAGGGGACTTCAAAGAGAGGGAACAGCCCTAGGAGAGGCACTGCAGAGGACAGCCTGTGTCACATTGCTGGAGGGCAAAATGCTGGGCTTGGAGTTGTGAGCAATTTTCCCAAGGCAGACATGGTCCAGGTCCCAGGAACTTTGGAAATCAGGTGGATGGGGTAAATAATAAAATACACCTGAATACCAGAGGTATTAATGGTTTTTGAATACAGCATTTGCAGCCATAGTTTTGCCAGATCTGTACAAGTGCTCTGAGGAAAGCAGAGTAGGCAGAGCAGGTCAAGGATGGCAATCAACTACGGTCACACACAGGGTACATGGTAGAAGCAGATCCATCCCATCCCAAGAATACTAAGCCAACATTTACTGAACATACCAGTAACTGGAGAATATGAAACTCTTCCTGCACCAGTTTTGGCTGAATCAACAAGACAACAGATGCCACATTCCACAGTGAGACCACCGTGCAGCATTTGCCAGAAGGATGAGGCAGAAAACAGATTTGGACTCTGAGCTGAGCATCCTCCTCAGGGTTGTGACAGAGGAAGGAGGGGCTGAGCAGGGCGGTGGATGAGGACAGGGCAACCAGAGAGAGCTGTGGGCCAAGAGCACCTCTTTTCCCTGGCTGCCCTTTAACTAGAGGCTAGAGATTAAGGCGTCAGCAGGGCCATTTGGAGAGGGCCATTTGGATGGTCCTTCACTTCAGTTGAGGACACAGTGGCCTGCCCCTCTGGATAAATTGCAGGAGTGAGAGATGGGCTGGCAGCTGAGGGCAGAAAAAGGAGAGGCCTGAGTGCCTGGAAAGTGTCAGCGAAGGATGCCAGGGACTTATTGCAGGGTGTCTTAGATCCTTACCAAGAAGTGTGGAGAGGCAAATCCACACAAGTACTTGCAAGAGAGTGAGACAAAATCCAAACGCCACTAGATCCAGAAAGAAAGACACCAAACCCGATGGTATCCCGTAAATAAGAAGTGGCCTCATTCCTTCAGCTCTGCCTCTCCCCTGACCAATCAGAAACCAAGAGGAGTGGGACAAGGAAGGGAAAGAGGTGTGGCTGGCTTATATGCAGGAACATGACCCCCCCACCCTCTCTCTCACACACACACACACACACTCACACATACACTCACATACTCACATACTCATAAGCTCATAAGGACTCACATGCAGCCCCCCAACCCCCACCCTCCCTGCCATAGCAGGGCTGAGCTGGGGGCTAGGAGGAGGCTCATTTTAAGTTTTATGTTTAAAACTTTCTATTGTGGCTGGACATTCAAATTATAGACTGGAGACAGATTTGTAACTTCCAGTGCTTGCTGGACTGCTGGACTTTCTATTACCTAAGGGAAAGCAGAGGAGTGGTGGAGTTGTCTGAATTTTCATCCAGGTCCAGGGGATTAAGCCAGCAGCAGCACAGAAATAAAACTATTTAAGGTCACTTCTTCCCCTCCCCGTGCCCCATGAAGTCTACTTGTGGATACACTCACTGTTTAGTGTAGGCACTGTATTAAAACTGCACTCATGTCAACTCATTTAGTCCTCAGGCATTATTACCATTCTCCCTGTTTTGCAGGTGAGGAACCTGAGACCCAGAAGGATGAAAGAGTGTGGCAGAGGTCTCAGGACAGCCAAGAGGTAGAGCTGGTATGCAGGTCCAGGCAGGCTGCCCTCAAAGCCTGTGTGTTTAACCTCACCCCAAGAAATCTCCTAGAGCTCCCTGGACTTGGTCTGGAGTCATGAAACCTCATTGAACATAGACTTGTCTGGGGTGGAGAACACAGGAGGCACTGCAAGGCAGAGAAACTAGAACTGGAGCCCTGCTGGAAAAACTTCCCTGCCTAACTCCCCTTCCTGTGGTCCCCTTTCTGAAGGAAATTCAGAAGTTGGGGGCTGAGCTCTGCTGAGTCTGGTGGGGCGTTGTTCAACTCTGTGATGGTTCAGCAGGGAACCATCACATGTGTGCATGGGAGTGTGTGTGCATAGGTGTGTGTGTGCATAAGTGTGTTGTGTGCATGTGTGAATGAGTGTGTGCATGTATTTGTATCTGTATGCACGGACAAGTGTGTGGTCTGTTGTTGCCTCTCTGTCAAGGTCATGTCCTCCTGGAAAAGAGACTGTCTTCATTTTGGAACGGATGCCCTCTCAGTCCTCAGTCCAAATGTTACCCATAGAGAGCTACAGGTAACCCTGGCTAAGCAGACCTCCCAGCCTCACACTGTCAGTGACCAGGTTGCTCTAGGTACCAATCCCCACTGTCCCATGTCAGTCCCAACCAGCAGTCATTGCCCATGAGTTCTCTGTAAAGTGATGGAAAGAATTGTCTACTTTTCACAGGCCCCCAAGCCCTCTGAACACTTTTTCCTGATGTTTTTCTCCACTTGCCACTGATTTTATTGAGACTGAGGAAAAAAAAAAAAACAACACACATTTCTTAGCGAGCAGATGCTAAGATGAGTTCTTTGTGGGGTGTGGTTGGTAATAATTTAATTAGCCCAGCTTTTTTGGGAAAAAAGTGTTAATTAGTTTTTGCTTAAAATACAGCATCTTGATGGCCTCTCCTTCCCCACTTGTCTCTCCTGGGTAAAGCCCCAATTTCTCATCCACACTCTGCAGCAAGTCCCAGCCTGGCCACCACTGTTATTATAGGAAAAGGAAATGTAGAAAGGTATTTTTTTCAGTCATAGATTAAGACACGTGCTGATTATGACTTCTGCAGGTCCAAGAGACTGGGAGGGCGGGGAAGCAATCCACGCATAGTCACCTCTCAAGGACTGTGAGGTTCTCAGAGGCCTGCTGGCCCCAGTCCCCCTTCAGAAGCTGAACACCAAGGTGGAGGCAGGAAGGTGTAGCCAAGCCTCATTTCATACAGAAGGGAACAGGTCCCTCCAGGTGAGCCCATCCCCCCGAGACTTGTCCAGCCACCTGCCACAGGTGAAGATGGTAGCCACTCCGGTGCTGGTGTTGGTGACTTCCACCTTCTCTACCAGCCAGCCTGAGAAGTAACCACTGCTGTCCTGCTCGAGCCGCACCTTGCGAAGCTCGCCCAGCTCCAGCGTCTCCAGAAAGAAGCGGTTGGTACTGCCCCGCTCAAAGAGGTTGCGCATTTTCTGCTTCAGCTCCCGCTTGCCCGTGTCCCCATTGGAGCCAAAGATGGTCACAAAGACGTTGGCGTCCGTGCCGGCTCCTGGCTCATAGCCAGTTGTCACAATGACCTCGTACTTGACAGGCACCAGGCTCTGGAGCTTGCTGGCAAAGCTCTCTGTCGTCTTGGTAACCTCGAAAACCTTGAAATACTTCCTCTTTCTCTTGAGGGGGATGAGACAGTCACAGTTAAAGAAGTACCTGGACAGGGGTGGGAGAGCAGGCAGGGATCAGATCAGGGGACACCAGTAGAGGGTCACTCCCTCCCCTACAGCCTCAAGTCATTTGTAAATGATTCTTTCCCATGATTCCACCCAAGATATTGAGGTTGGGATTGTCTACATTCAAATGAGAGTAAGAGCTTTGTCTTAAAATGCACAGTGGAGTGACATCTCAGCCTCCAGTTGTCATTTGTTTCCTCTTTTCTTGTCCTATATACTCCATATCCAACTCATAAACAAACCTTGCTGTCTTTATTTAAAATACACCAAGAATCAACCTACTGGAAACACTACCCAGTAGCTCACTGTCTGCCCTGCTCTGGCCTAAATCACCACATTTTCTACTTGGAGAATAACAAAGACCTCTTGACTAATCTCGCTGCTTCTTGCTTCCTAGATTCAGAATGAGCAATTCCTATGGTTTCTTCCCATTCCAAATTGCTAATATTTTAACAGCTTTGTAATAAGTGTCCTGCACTGGCTAGTGACTAGGAACACAGCAATGGAAGGGTGTAGCCAAGGGTGAAAAAACAAACCCGATTTTAAATAAAAAAGTATTTTTTGTTGTTGTTTTTGGTTTTGTTTGTGTTGGGATTGAACCCAGGGCCTCAGGTATGCCAAGCACATGCTGTGCCACTGAGGTACTCCTCAGTCCCTACATGAAAATTCTTCACAGAAAAAAATCCTTGGTTCTCTGCATGCTTACCAAAGGTCAGGGCTTTGCATTCTTTCATCTCATCCTCCCATTTTAAAGAAGGAGGAACTAAGGCTTGAAGAAGAAAGACCCAAGAAGACCCAAGGCCTGCCTTGCTCTGAAGAGCAAAGCATTTAAAGACACTTCTCAGGAAATTCTTACTCTGAGAGCTCTCTTTCCCACGTTTATCTCTTGATATGTTTGGATTGTTATTACATACCAGAATTTCTTTGTGGGGGATGTACTTGTATTCTTTGTTGTAAAATTCTTTAAAATGTCTTTCTTTATGCATATGCCCACCGATGTACATAATTCTATATAAACACACAAGTCATATGACTAGACATGCTTTTCCAAATGCACTCTTTCTTCCTTTCTGTTTGGCTCCATCTCCTTTCTCCTTTCTACTTCAGCACCCCACCTTTACCTCAGATAACCCATGCAACAGTTGAGGCACAGCCTGCCAACTTCCTCTCCATTCCACCCAATCCTGCACAGACTCTCATTCACATAGACATATGGGGACGTCAGTTTTCCCTTTACTCAGCAGCATCATATGCGACATGTTTTCCTGCATCTTACTTTTCTCACTCAACAATACTTCCTGGGAATTGCTCCAAGTCATCTGGTACATATTTAATTCTTTATTTTGAATGACTAAAAAATATTTCCTGATGTAGATATGAGGAAATGTTTTCTAATAGACATAATCTTAGAAAATCACCAAAATGTGATTGGTCTTGGTGGAGTCAAGGTTCCAGATGGAAATGGGGACAGGATAGTCCATAAGAATAAAAACAAACGCAGAAGGATGGGGAACAAAAAGAAATTATTTGTGTTTAAAATCAGGTAGAATGTGATCACCCTTCTGTGAACACTGTGAGGGTGAGCATCAGAAAATCCTGGAAATGCTAAAGGTGGCCATCTTTGGTAGTAGAGCCTTAGGGAAATTTTACTTTCTTTTATTTACTTTTCAGTCTTACTTGAAGTTTTATTTTGTTATGTGTTTAGATATACTTCAGGAATAAAACAATAAAGGAGTTTTTGGTTTAAAAGACAAAAAAGAACTTTTCTGCATGTCTTTCTACAAAAACCCCAAGGATATTAATGAGAAACAAGAACTAGTGAGAAGGATAAAACGCACACTGCAAAAACAGGGTCAGAACTGGAAAAGATTGGAAGACAGAAGTTTGAGGTTATTGTGTTTATAAGAGATTGAGATTAAAATTATTTGTAATTTACAGAAATTCAAATTTGGCTAACATGGTGGTTTGCAAGAAGTCTTGTATGCACACACAGGGCTAAGTAGTTTTTATGATATAGACTCTTAATTGTGTTCTAGAATGATGCCATACAAACATTCACAAGGGGTAAACACACCTGCAAAGTCCCCTTTTGGATGAATGTGATATTTGTGGGGGGGACATAGGTTCTTATTCCTCAGAAACCACAGGTTTGAGACCTACATAGGTAGGCAGGGGTGGGTTGGGACTTCTGAGAGCATCCAGGCTCGCACTCCTGCCTCCTGTCCCCTCCTGCTAGATTTAAGGGGGAATTCAGTTCTCTGCCCAAAGGAGAGAGAGGCACAGAGGTGATGTGCAATTGCTTGAGGTCACAGAGCTCTGGTAACAGCTCTGGTATTCATGAGCCAGACTCCCCCCCACCTTAATTTTGGGAAGAACCCTTGGTGCAGGTATCACTGGGAGAAGCTACTTCTTTTCATTGCTTACAAAAATTCCACAACTTGGACCGTGTGTGGGAAACTCAGTGTCAGGCCTTTATCTCTCCTTTCTCCTGACCAGAAGGTACTAGGATTCCATAGGATTCCAAGATTTATTCTCTTTCTCTCTCTCTCTCTCAACATTGCGGGTTTAAAAGTACCAGAGAGGTGACAATTTTATTATTTTATTTATTCTAGGATTTGCAAAGACGCAGTGTCAGTAGTCACATTTGCCATGATTGGAAGGCAGACAAGGCACCTAAGGTACTTTGGCCTGGCTCTGACTTGCTGGAAAGTTCTTAACTCTTCTGGCTCTCAAATCCTCATCAGATTGGTTAGAGCAGCCACATCCAGAAACTCCTGCAGAATTTATTGTGCCAGCCTAAATTTCCTCTAAAAGAGCAGCAAATAATGTCCCAGTCCAAGAGTGAAGTGCCCCCCTCCAAAGTCATATGTTGAAGCCCTAACTCTCAATGTGACGGTACTTAGAGATGAGGCCCTTAAGAGATACTTAGGCTTACTTAGCAAGTATGAGGTCTTGATTTCAACTTCCTCTTGCTGAGAGAGAGAGAGAGAGAGAGAGAGAGAGAGAGAGAGAGAGAATTAGGATTAGCTCAAGTCATGAAGGTGGGGCCCTAATGATGGGATTAGTGCCCTTAAATAGGAGGAAGAGGCACCCGAGCTCACTGTGCCATATGAGCCCAGAACAAGAAGGTGGCCATTTGCAGGCCAGGATGAGGGCCTTCACCAGAGCCTGATTATGCTGGCGCCCTGATCTTAGACCTGCATGTCTAGAACGGTAAGAAATGAGTGTCTATTATTTAAACCACCCACCTATGGGGTGTTATTATGGTAGCCAAGTTCAGAGTCAGAAGCCTCTCCTGCTCAGTTCCCAAAGAGAAGATTGCATAGGAAAGCCAAGTTCAGGAAGCCTGCAGGTCACAGGTTGAGCATGGACAGACATTGCTCTGAGAAGCTTGGCCACCTGAGGGCCAAAGCCCACAGAGATTTGCCTGATTCTGAGGTCTATGCTCACTGCTGCTTCTGTGCAGGCAGTGGCCACATTTCCAGGGGCAGGAGAGGTTTCAGTATGTAGAATGAGCTCCCAGGAAGGGACTTGTTGGGAAAGGGGCCAGCAGGGTCCCTAACTGAGAATCTCTGGCAAAAAGTGACAGGCTGCTCTTGTAGGCTACATACAGCTCTCATTTACTCTCCCCAAACAAGCCTTGGCTTCCCCTTTCCATGCTTTTCTGGCTTCTTCCTGGTATCTTCCTAATCCTCCAGAGCCTTGGGGCCCTTTCTGGCTTCCAGCATGGTTACCAAGTGATTTTAATTAGACAAATGGGTGGCTGTGCCTATGTTGCCCAGGTAACTAAGGCTCTTAAATCCTCCAGAAACACCCTAGTCTCCAGAATACCCTGACAGGAAAATGCAGAGCCCCTTCTCAGAGGTTCCCAGAGGCAGGTGTGCCATTAGTGCCCCCTTGGTCTCTGCTCCTTCTGCTGTCCATAGGAGACATTCTCACTGTGATCACCTAAGCAGCAAGTTCACATGTAGCATTTCTGTGTCATTCTAGAGAGAAGAAAAGGGAAGGCAAGAAAGGTTCTGTTGTCTGGCCCTGTGAATTTCTTGGTGTTCTTCCAAGAAAGTCTTCAAAGACTGGGTATATCCAAGGTCATCCAGTCTAGTCCCATGCCTCTGGCCATAGACACATGGTTCAGATAGCTCCAGAACAGGACAGTTGTCTCTTATAAATCCTGTCTGAATGGGGGGTGACCTTGGCCTTGAGAGGACACCTCCCAACATGCTGCCCTCTCTTGCCCATGGTCAGTCCCAGGCCCTGTCCCTCAGAGGGTTGGTGGTCGGGGCACTGTACATACACATTCCCATACTCCATCTCAGTTATGGTGATGGTCTTGACGTGCCAGACCAGCTCTCTCTTCGGGATGAACCGGTCCTCCCTGGCCAGGTGGCCCACACAGAGGGAGGCAATGTCTCCCAAATAGATGCTGTCAAATTCGAATGTGTCCGTGGTCCCCCTGCAGGAAATAAAAATGTAGCCCATGACCACTGGAGTAGGTCATCATTTATTGAGTGCCTACCACATTCCAGGGAAAGACTTGACGTGAATTCCACATTCCTGGAGGAATTCAGTCTAGTTTTGGAACAAGACGATCACAAGAAAGAAGCCCTGCCCTGCCAGCTGGAGATGGGCGGAGCATGAGGTCCTTGGTGTTGAGCTAAGAGTGGTGAGACTGAAAGAACAAGGGAGGAGGGGAAGGGGAGAGTCCCCTGAGACAGACTCGTCTTAGCGTGCGTGGAGGAATGCTGGCTTGGGTGAATTTAGGTTCAGTGAAGGAAATGGTAATGGAAAAGGTGGGAGCGTGGCAATCTATGGTGGTCTGTATGTATCAGTCTAAGATCTCAGACTTTGTCCTCACGTACAGGGGATTTGAACGAAAGGTTGCTATAAACTGAATGTTTGTGTCCCTCCCAAATTCGTATGTTGAAACCTAAACCCCAGTGGGATGGCATGTGAGGTAGGGCCTTTAGGAAGTGATTAGGTGATGAGGGTGGAGCCCACATGAACGGAATAAGTGTGCCTTATAAAAGAGGCCCCAGCAAGCTAGCTCACTCCTTTCGCTGTGTGCAGATGCAGTGAGAGGATGGCTGTCTATGAACCAGGAAGTGGGCCCTCACCAGGTACTGAATCTATTGGTACCTTGGCCCTAGGAGTCTAGTCTCTAAAACTGAGGGAAATGAATTTCTATTGTGTATAAGCCACTTCTCTGTGACATTCTGTTATGGCAGCCCGAATGAGCCAAGACAAAGGAAGAATGGAGTTAAAGGGGAGGTGGAGGCTAGACAAGCAGTTCTGGAGGGAGCAGAGATGAAGTGGGCAGCTGAGCAATTGAGATGCCCTGTGGTGAGCACCATGTCTACTTGGATGTGATATGATGTTTGCAGTAGAAAGCATAGGGCTTGCACACAGTAGGAACTCAGCAAGTACTTGTAGGTTAGGCCCATTTATAGGCCTGTGGCTCCTCTCAAAGGGGAGGAGCCTCTCTTACCACCCCACTCCATCTCCCCCCACCCATACTCCCTGTGATCCCTCTTCTTCCTACTTCCTAAAGGCCCGCTGTCTGGAAGAATTTTCCACAAGGAACTCTTTGGATCGGTTCTTCCGGCCCTCCAGGATAAGCCAGACGTTCTCCCTGGTTTCGCCTCCGTTGCCGGTTTCTATGACGATCTCATATGCTGCATGGGAGGAGGTGGGAGAAGGTCAGCAGGGGGAGGAAGCAGCTGCCCACCACTAGGAACACAAGGCCGCTCCCTCAGAGTCTTTCATCTGGTCTTAGGCCGCAGTCTGAAGGTCAGGTGGCAAGTCAGCATCACCACAATCCAGGTGCTATAAGTAGAACGGCCAGTTCTGGGGTTAGAGCGATCCTTTCCATTTTATTTATAGTTGCAACCTCTTTGCCCAAGAACATGGGAAATGGGAGCCATGGGGAATGAAGCAGGAGGTGGAGGTCAGCTATTGAGAGATGCTGGACCTGGCTCTCAGGGCTGGGTGAGTCCCGAAGACACAACACATAACTCATATGCTGAGAAGAGAAGGCAGGAGAGGTGGGTCCAGCTTCAGAAAGCAGAGAGGAAAGACCTGGCAGGCCAAGGACCCCAGAGAGCCCTGACCTTACTCTAGCATGCAGCCACAGCCAGTCTGCTTCAGTGGTCACTCTTATCCACCTCACAGCAACTTCCCTGCCCTGGCGCTCTCCCAGCATGCCTGCACAGGTACCCATTCACCAACCTTTGTCCGATGGGTGCCGGGGGACAGGAGGACCAGAGTCTAATGACACCAGAACTCACTCTCTAGCCCCAGACGCAAACCCTGACCATCCCACATGACAGTGAAGGAGTGTGAAAACCTTTCAGTAAAAGGCCAAAGTGCCATGGGGTGCAGGGAGAGCACAGCTCCCAATAGTGACCACTCCCATCTCAACTCCTAGCACATCTCTCTTGCTGTCTTCTTCTGCCTCTTGCCTCACTGCTCCTGCCTTAGGGCTCTGCAGTGCTTCTTCCTCTGCCTAGAACACTTACCCCAGCATGGCGGGGCTCACACCCTCACCTCCTTATACAAATGCTACCTTCTCAGTGAGATCTCCTCCAAACACCCCAATTAAAAAGGCAACTCCATTCCCCTACACTCCTGGCCCGCCTTACCTCACTGTATCATTTTCTCTTGTCCTTATTGTCTTCTAACATTCTCTGTCATTTACTCATTCATTATTTCATTGTTTATTGTACTTTCAACTTGAGCATAAGCTCCATGCAGGCAGGGGACTTCATTTTGCTCGCTGACAGATTTTCAAGTACCCAGAACAGCGCCTAGCATGTCATAGGTCTTCCATAAATATTTGTTGAGTGAAAGAATGAATGATTGGACAAATCACAGGAAGCTTCATGAAGGAGTTGGCTTGTGACCTTGGCCTTGGTAGTGGATAGAAGGGTGTTTCCAGAGAGATGGAAGAGTGTGAGCAAAGGTACTGAGCAGGTATGATCTGAGATTCAGCCCCTTGTCCCAAGAACCAGGCAGGGATGGAACTGACATACAGAAGGACACAATAAGTGTTTGTCCGGAATGGCTCCTATGCCTATAGATCTTGCTTAAGTCAATCCTTGAGGGTTTGGGATTCTAGATTCAAAAGATCGCTGTTTCTGTGTCTGTACCTCAGAGATAAGAACAAGACAATGAAGGAGAGAGAGGCTGGGCCTGCCTCTCTCAAACCCAACTCTTCAGCAATCCCTTTGCCTTCATAATTTCTTTCAGGGATAGGCCCTGTTCTACCCTGAAACAGGTAGGATAAACCTAGGCAAAGAGGCAGGTAGCCTAGGATTGAGGAAGAGACCCGCAGAAGATACATAACCCTGTGGCAGGGAGGGGCTCTGTGCCTGACAAATTCCAGCCAGGGACTCAAGCTGTCACTGCGTGGGAGCTGTCCTTCTTTAAAGTCATTGGAGGCTAAGGTAAGCTCTGCAAACAGGCCCAGGTGAGTTCAAGGTGGATCCTGGTCCTGTGAAGGAAATGGTTTATCAGCACAGAAGGGAGGGTGCAAGGAACCTGTGTGCTCCCCACAATGCATTCAAGTAGAAGAGGCAAGAGAGGATGCAGGTAGGTGCACATGCATGTAGCAAACCCCTGGTGGTCCTGAGGGTGGGGTTTGTCATCAAGGACACTTAGGTAGGTTGCTATTGCTTCAAAGGTCTTCAGAGAAGCTTCAACCCACATTTCTTCACCTTGCTCCCTTCCCCATCTCATCAATGGCTTGACAAAAATGTGGAAAGCCTACCCTCAACTTTGTCCACAGATTGTTGGGAAGAAACAGAGGAAGATCAGGGACTTGAAAGGATGGAGAAGGGGAAAGTGATAAGTCCAATCTAATAGACATCAATGTACAGCCCAGCTAAGGGACCTGTACAGCCATGGGACAAGCCAACTGCAGAACAGGGCTCATGCCATGTGAGGGAAGAATCAGAGTGGGAGTCCCAGCATGAAGGCGAGCTGGTGATTTGAGTGGTAGGATGGGGAGAGGTGAGCAGACCACCTTGAAATCTTGCCTTTACTCTAGGCATAGCATCTACAGAGTGAAACGAACAAGCAAGTATGTACTGAGAAGGGAGTGGGTGGATGCAGAGAAGCTCCAATATCACATTTCATGAGGAGCAGCAGAATAAACAGGTGGGTGGTCTTGAGATAAGAACAGCAGTGGCACATGCTGGCCATGGAGGAGTTGCAGGAGGTGGGCTTCTGGTGGGCATCCAGACTTTACTGCCTCCTGTTATTAGAACTATTCTGGACACTTGGGAGCTCCACGTTTTGGAGCTGGGATGGGCTGAGAGTTCTGGGCCTGGGTAGTTAGCATCCTCCTCAGAGCAATGTTCTCTTCTCTTCCACTGAGGCTATTCTGCTAGAAGTGTGAGTTGGTGCAACCAGTAGCCATCTTCCTGTGATGCAGGGATAATCTGCACTAAAAGAAAGTCGATATGCTGAGGGAAACAGAGATAACAAGAAATGAGAGACAAAGACAAAGAACCATTGGAGCCTCTGGAGACAGCCAACTCTGAGCCAGAATCACCTAAGGCTTCCAAATTCTGGAAACCAATATATTGCTGCAGCCAGCATAGATTTGGGTTTTAGGCATGTGCAAACCAAGGCTCCTAGCCATTTCTAAAATTTTCTGTTTGACACCACTAGGACTACCAAAAAATGGAAGCATCAAACACAAATATGAAGATTGATTCTCTAGCAGAGTATTTAGTGCTCCATCCTTGGGGACTGGCCAGCAAGCCTGACTCTACTAGGGCTGGAAGCATTGCAGATAAGGCTGATGGAGCCACCTTAAAGGCTTCTCTAGGATAAGGAAGGGAGGGCTGTAAGTAGGAAGTCATTTATTTAGCTGGAGGTTGTCCCGGCAAGAGAGAAGTTTGTGTCTTCCCAAGTGTGTACATGTGTCTGCATGCATACACGTGAACATGTGCTCTTACTGCCCAGTCCTGACTCTGGATCAGTCACAACAGAAACTCTGGAGGTTCAGACATCAAGATTATATATGAAGATTGCTAATGGCTCTTGGCTTTGGCTGCACCCTGGAAATCATCTGAAGAGGTGGCTGCTTGCAGAGGACTTGGAACAGCTTCTAGGACTGCTACCAAGAGATGGGGATGAAGGTTGGGAACAGGAGGCTAAGTGAGATGGGGCAATCCTTCAATCTGTGGCACCCGCCAGGTCCAGTGAAGACCTGGGGCCATGCAGCAGACTGTAGAGGTGTCATTTAACCTTTCTGCTTTTTTGCCTTCTTTATCCTTGACACAGGTGTGAACTGTACTCTGCCTGCCTCACATGGTGAGCATGGAGTTTCCAGGGCCTGATGGGAATGTGGTGTGAAATGTCTTCACATCTGTGGAGCTCTGTTTAAGCGAGAGGTGGTGTTTTCACTCACAGGCCAAGTGCCCAGAAGGGATCCTGGGTCCCATGGATCCAGAGTGAAGGTGCCATGAGAGCATAAGTAAGTCTCCTGAAGTCAGAAAAGGGCACAGCATTTCTAGGTGCTCGATATGGATTTGTCACATGGTTAAACAAAGGTAACTGAGGGTTGGGAACCAAGCTCAGTCTGTGACATCCCCAAGGAGGGAATGTAGGCATGGTGGTCTGTCCCTCATGGGCAACCCAGGGGATGCTGTGCTGCCCACTGCAGGCTTGAGGCAAGGGCCGGATGCATCCAGGCCCTCTCCTGGCTCCGTGTCCCTGCCCTCCTGTCTCCCACGCTCATAGAACTAACCTCTCTTCAGTAACCTCCTGCCAACCTGAATCCAGCAGGTCTCAGCAGCTGTTTGGTCTCTGGCAATCCAAGCAGGAGAGTCAGCAGTTTTTCTCCAAGCCTTACACATGTCTCGTCCTCTGAGTGCCAATGGCCTATGAAGCCTCCATTATCTACGTTGGCTCTGGTGATCTTCTCCCTCTGACTGCAACGTGAGGCTCTGAGGTAACACTTCTTCCCTCAGAGCACTAATTTACTGTGTCCCTACTAAGCCCCAAGGCCTACCAGGTAAGAAATACAAGTGATGCTGTCCCTGACCCGTGGAGGTCACAAGGCACTATGGTCACAAGAGCTATGGATGCTCAGAGCATCCAAAATAAAAGTGGGCACCCTGTAACTCCTTAGAAAGTGCAATTACAAAAGCTGGGAGCATACCTTCTGAATCAAGACAGGAATTCCCTTACGGGAAACTCAACTCTCATTTGAACGCTCCTAGGCACACGGTGCTCACTGTCTCTCAAAATAGCTAATTTCATCATTGGACACTTTGCACAACTTGGTGGAGATGGGTAGGTGTCTTTCCATCAAAGATGCACACTTCTTTTCCATGGTGTAGTGGTCCCCCAGAAGGGGCTACCCAGTAAGGGACCACTTTTCCCAGGTGTCTTTACATCTGATAGTGGCCACCGGACTAGCCTTCATAAATATAATATAGTTAATGTGTTGAGAAGGTAGCAGAGGGCCTTCCCAGGCTCTCTTTTCCCTTCTGCAAGAAATGTGGAAGTCACATGTTGGAAATGGCAGAAACACAGATGCAAAGAGCTTGGGTCCCTAAATCATGCCACAGAAGACCTCCCACCAAACACCCACACTGGACTATCTATGGCAGAAGTGAGAAAGACAAAAAGAGTTGGGAAACTACTTCTTAGTGCTTCTAGTATTGCCTTAATAACCAACATTGGAAAATCCCTTCCTTACAGCAGGCTCTGCCTTTGGTAGGCCTTCTTCTTGGGTTGGGTCCAGATGCTGGCCTGTGTATTAGACACATTTCCCTAGGCCTCAGTGGTCATTACCTGAGGGGATCAATTACTCTTTCCTTTAAGTCTCCCGAGGAAGGGATGAAGGAGTGGCTTGAGGAGTTCCTCATTCTCTCTGCTTCTGTTTCTAGGAAGGCTGGATTGGTATCTGATGCCATAGACATGGGTTAGACTTAGTCCATGATAGAAAAATAAATTAGAGAGGATTTCATGACAAGCTGCCCAGCCAAGCCATCAATCCGGGTGAGCTTGTCCTCATGGGATTTCCTGCTACTCAATTAGTCCCTATGACTCAGGGTTATGAATTGGCCCCAGTTTCTTAGCAGTTTTGGGTTTTTACCTTTAGGGAGTTTACTTTACTATCTCCCCATAGTTTCCCATAGTTTCCCTCATGAGGCATCTGAGCCCCCTCTAGCTGTACCAGGGTCATCTCATTCTCACTCCATTTTCCACCTCCTCCCCAGCTAGCCCTCTTTTAACTAGAAGCCAGTCCAAGTGTCACAGTCAGGCTGGGTCCACATAATCTCCCCCACGTACTGGTCTCCTCCAGATCTTCATGGATCTCATTGTTGGCACATGCAAAGTCACGGACTGTCTGCCTGTCACCCTCACTCTTGGAGAGCCAGCAGTCACACTGGAAGCGGAAGGTCTCATCGCGGGAGTTGTCTTTCACGTCAACATAGCTCAGGTGCCAGCCAGGAAATAGCCCTGTGGAGGAGATATGGTGGAGACTGGGAACAGAGGTGCCTTCCCTTCCCATCCAGACCTCCCTTCCCAACCCATAGGCTGTGTGGCCCTGGACAAGTTCCCCATCCTTTCTGGGCCTTGGTGTCCTTGCTGATGAAATGACGGGTTGGGTTAGGTTGACTTTGAGGACTCCTGAAGCCCACACGATTTAGTTTTCTTTGCAAAATCCTTAAGTTGGGGTTCAAAGACCCTTAGAGGATTTGTCCATGGGTTTTAAAGTTTGTGGGCCTCAAGAAATTGTGTTAGTTTCTTACTGCAAGTTTCTCCCACCTAAAACCCATCCAACATGACCCTTTACCAGGGATGGTCTTATAGCTTTCATTTGGTTCACAATAGAGGTCTTTAATCCAAGAAATAGACCTTTTTGGAGCTCCCAAAGCTGAAGTATGGCTTCTATTACCTTCTGACACCAGTATTTATGAATTCATGCCCATGATCCTTCCAGAAGCAGTTTCAAGTATCAACTCCTCCAGGAAACCTTCCCTGATGTCCCTCATCACTTCCTGGATCTTCCTTCACACTCCTATAGCACTCTGCATCTGCCTGGCAACACCCTGACCATCCTGTGCTGTCAGTGTTTACACTTGTCTCCTCCCTAGACCAGCGGGGATTGAGGACCTGGACTGGGTTTTATTGGCTTGCCCACTAATGCCTAGTGTGAGACTGGTAGGTAAGCAGTTGCTCAATAAATGCTGAACAAAGAACTATGTTATGATTTGGAGGTCTTGACTGAGTAGTTCAACAACCACAGAAGGACTCAGAGGCTGCTGTTACTTTAGGGTATGTTGCTAACTTTGTCAAGTCTTGGTGTGATTGTGAGATTATCAGGCTCTGTTGTAATTGGCAGGGATTCCCTCAGAAGTGTCCCCACCATAGCACAGCCAGCGAGAACCAATGTGCATTTGCCATGACAGCTGTGTGTTATTTACACCGTACACTGTTTCTGTTACTCTCCATTCTTCAGCGTCCTTGAGAACTCTGAACCCCAAAGGACCCCACGTAGTGGGAAATCCCTGTGCTCAGGCAAGTTATGGTGATGACATTTGCTGTTTATAACAGCAAATTTGTGACATTTGTGTCCATAAGGCCACCCCACAAAGAACACACAGACATGTAAAACACAGGGGGCAGATGCTAAGGCTCAGAATCACAGCATTCATGTTGGCATCATTCCAGATTTAAAGGATCTTATTTTTTGTAAACTTAGATCTTTACTGAAGCGGAAAACAGTGAGTGCTTAAACGATTAAGTTAAAATTTAAAACTTCTGTTGAGTTACAGAGTAGTGAGTTAGTTTATCCACAGACTTGTCTTTTTTTTTTTTTTTTTTTAAACTCAATAGATCTTTTCACTTTTCTACATCAGGCCAGTCCTATGTGTGAGTTTGCAAATTGGCTGCTATCGGAGATGGTTCCTGATAGTATTGTGAAACTGATTAAAGATCTTAGCGGGCCTCAGTGTGTTCAGTCTGGAAAGGATGCAGATAAGACTGATTGAAGCCTTTTCTTCAATGGTTTCTAGAGTGCAACATAGAAAGGAAGAGGCAGGTAAAGAGGAAGGAGAGAAAAAGAAAATACACTGTTGGTCCTATGGGAAAATGTTCTTTGTTCTTCCCCCAGGCTCCATTCCCCATCCAGGGGTGTGTATGTGTGTGTGTGTGTGTGTGTGTGTGTGTGTGTGTGTGTGTTTTCACCCACTCTCAATTCCCTTTTCCACTTAGAATTGAGCAAAGACACTCATGTGGTAAACAGCAGGCTAACCCCTATTTCTCTGACATGAAAGAGGCCTGGTCTTCAGCCCTGTGTTCCCTAATGACCTGCTTGCCATGTTTTAGAAATGTTGGGTGTGACCCACACAAGTTTCTCCCATTAAGAACCTACCCAACAAGCAGGTGGAAACAGGTATCTCTGAGCAGGCTAACATCACCAGGCTTTTGCTGGTGAAGACAAAGGGGCAGTAGACAGACTTACAGTTACAGTATGGCTAAGTATTGTGGCCAGCACCAGGTGGGTGTTGGCCACCCTGCCTGACCCTGGTGGACTCATAGGGAACTATCTGAAAATGGCTGTGAGAAAATACATTTTTTTACAAGGACCCTTCCCTTAGCCCAGCATTCTCCTTTATTTTTTTCTCCAAACTAGCAAACACCCCACACTGCTTGCCACTGTGCCTTTACATGCAGACAACCCATATCAGAATACAGATGTCTGCTGCCTGGTATTCCACTGTACATACACATCACAAATTGTTTGCCTTGTCTTTGTTGATGGATAACTAGTTATTCTCCAGACTTTTGCTCCTCATGAAATACGATAATTAATATCCTGTGTGCATAACAGTGATCTTGTAAAATCATAAATCAGACTTTGTCACTTCTCCATATAAAACCCTCTGATGACATTCCATCACTCTCAGAATAAAATACAAACTGCTCACCAAGAATTATATGAATTGTCACACTCTAATCTGTTTCTGCTCCTCTGATCTCCTTCCATACTCCTCACATCTTCCCTTACCATACGCCACTGGTACGGAACTTACACTGTGACATAAGGGTCCCTGGGGGAGCTTTGCATTTACTGCTGTCTATCTGCAGTGACGTTCTCCAGGTTCTAAATGTCAGTGCTGTCTTGTCATGCACGTGTCACATGAAGTGTCCTGCTGTTGAGAAAGCCCTATTGATGGCTCTATTTGCAGTTTCTCATCCCCGATTACTTGCTGACAATCACTATGTACCCACTTGACAATCCAAAATAATTTTATTTCTCTTTCCTTGTATATTGTATTGTCTGTCTAGTATTTGTCTACTAAGTCAGATGAAATTAACTAAGCTGACTTAGCAAAGTGAACCATCAGCACTAAGCCCCATGAAATTAAGAGGCCTGACCCATCCACCACTGTATTCCAGAGTTTAGGATGGTGCCTGGCATGTTACCCAACAAATGCTTACTGCATGCATGAGTGTACATGAGGACTGAATAGGGATGAACAAGGAAGAATGGTAGTGGTGGTAATTTTGGGAGGGGGAATTTATAGTCCCACCTGGGAGGAATGGCCTGTCCTAGAAGAATTGATTGTTTTATTCCAAATGTCCTAAAGTTTGCTCTCAGAAAAAGTCTTAGAAACACCTAACTAATGTATGGTCCCACTCTTTCCAGGTAGGAGATGGCAGGCTCTGAATGGGAGTGAGGCTGGCAGCAGAATGCCCGTGGCTATCAGGATGCTCTCTACTGCCTGTCAGTCCTCAGTAGCTTTCCAAATCTGATGAGATGAAGAGCTCTGTGTTTACAACTCTGCATTTATATATTTAGGACCTTCTTCAACCTGACTCAGGTCAATAAGGAAGAGCTCATAAGCACATCCTTTATCCCAGTGAGATGGATTTATTTTAAGCATTCCTTTGACATTTCCTCCCTTCTCATTATGGCTGCAAGCTATTCCCTAGCCTTAAGTGTCTGCCTATCCTTCATTATCCTCCTTAGCTACCACCTCCTCCATTAGGCTCTCTGGAATCCCCAGACCCACCCTGTTCCTTGCATGCCTAGTCTCTTGGCCATGAGCACAAATATCTAAGAAATCTTTGCTATTGAGGCCTTGACAAGTGTCCTAACTTTTCTATGCCATTTTATATGTATGTCCAATTTCTCCAGTTAGATTTTAGGGAATGTGTTATAACCTCTTGATTGTATCAAAGGGTTATGGACTTAGCATGAAGTGGAAAACTATTTTTACTTTCAAAGTGAACCATAAGCTCTTTATTCTAGTACAGATCATTGAGAATTCTTCTCATGTAGAAAGATTCACTTTCCAAGCAACACCTTCCCTAAAAATAACCAATGGGAAGCTAAGGTTCACTTGGTGACTCACATTTCCTCACCAAGATCAGTGATGGGCCAGGCATGAAGGTTCATGCTGTAATCCCAGATACTCAGACGGTGGAGGCAGAAGACTGTCAAGTCAAGGTTAGTCTGGGGAAAGTTACTGAGACCCTATCTCAAAAACAAGATAATAATAAAAGGACTGGAACATGGCTTACATGATAGAGTGCTTGACTAGCATGTGTAAGGCCCTGAGTTCAATCCCTTGTACTGAAAAAAAAAATCAGTGGATCATTTGAAGTGAGATATGGCGTCATGACAAAATTTTAGCTCTGAAAAGATGCAGGAATCTAGGTATTATCTCCTCAAACATCTTCACAGGTGCATCATATAAGAAGTTGCCTGGAGTAACCCTCTAAGATTTGGCAGATCTGGGTTCCAGTCATGAGGTTTCCTCCTAGTTAAGCATTTATAACATCACCATGCCTCAGTTTCCTCACTTGTACAATGTAGGAGGTAAAATAGATTATTTCTGAGGTATATACATATACATATATATATATGAATTTATGTTATAAAAAAGAAAACGTAACAATTCATTTTGTGGTTAAAAAATTATTTACTCACTGAGTTTTAATTTAACCACAGAAAGCAAGATCAATTAGAAAATAATCACTCTGGTTATAATTTGTTCAGTATTGTAGCAGCTATCTGGGTAATTAGAATTAAGAGGAAGAATTAATCATTTATCTTGATTTTCTTCTTTGAACTATATTTCATGGTAATCAAATAGCCTTAGGGACAATTTTTTAAATAGAAAAATTCAGCAAGTAAATGGATAAGAAATGACAGAATTATAAAATCACATTTGTAGCTCTAATTGATCATCACTGGATGAAGCTATTAGATGAAGAATTATGAAGGAAATTTACAAAGGAGCAATCAGATTGGTGGCAGTGGCTGAATTTTTGATCTTAACCTCAGTAAGAATGAGAATTCTTACTGAATAATTCCTTTTAAAAATTTCCTTTTGTAAAAAAATTATTATTGTTGTACGGAGGACACACTGGGACACTTACCAAAGTTCTTACAATGTATCATAGTTGAATTCACCCCCTCCATCATTCTCCTTTATCCCCTCTGC